GTGGGCCAGGGCAGCTGCGTGCCGGCTATAAAAGGCTGCTTTCTGCCCCGAGCCAGGTCCCCCGGAGCCGGAGCCGAAGACCACGCTCCGCTGTCCATCTGGCCAGAAGGGAGGAGCTGCCGCTGGAAGAGCTGGGGAGAGCTGGGACCGGTCACTCGGCCGCCGAGCGCCCCGCAGGCACCGAGGGAGCCCTGCAGTCAGGTCGTCTGCTGGCCTCTGGTGAGGGGGCCTCTGCTCCGCTCCCCCAGGACCCTCCTGCTCTGGTAGCTATAATTTCTCTTTGAATCACAGCATTTCCTAGAGAATTTAATCTAGATCTGAAGAGTTACGATGGCAGTGAACGGTGTTGTAAGTTACTCTAGTGGTTAACTATAACCAGTGCTGAATATGTGCGCTCTACCTTTACTCTGAATTTGCCAACTTTGTCTCCCGATTGCTACTTTTCTTGGAGGACTAAAGAGCAACCAACTCCCAAACTGGTTATGGACATTTGTAGCTTGATCAAAATAACTTGTTAACCTTCCCCCAACCAAAACAGAGTCTTATACTGAGTATTTTTTTGTACCTTGTGTAATCTTTGCATATTTTTTCCATTCCCTTTCCAACTCTTGTATTATTTTGTAAAACCTACAACTAGATACCATATAGCAACCACAATTTCATTGCCCCTCTCAACACACAGAAAATACCACTTGCTTTTACGTGATTTTTTTTTCCTTGCTTGTACACTGAAAGTATTTAATCAGACCTTTTATTATTGCACTGAGAGCAGGGCATTTCCTGTCAGTTGTTCAAGCAATCAGGACCCCTGAAATTTTGGATATTGATTTTTTACTATGTGTTTTGTTCTGTTTTCTTTTTTTGGGGGGCATTATTATATTCTGGGATATGACCCCCGCTGGATCCCAGTGAGGCCCACACTACTAGGATAAGGAAGGAGAGAGAAAACCAAAGTTTTTTTACAGAACTTAGAAAGAACTTGTTCTTGGTCATGTCATCTTACTATTGGAGAGCAGCTGGTGGTTTTTTTTGTAGTGAATGGTATTTTCACCAAAGAAATAAAATGTTTTTTTTCATGTGCATACTGAATGATAATTCTACTTTTGCATTAAAATGCTCTGATTTCTGCATTATATCATTCCTCTTCAGTCAGAAGAGAAGCAGAAAATTGTATGTGGTCTGATTCCAAAAGACAAAAAGCATGCACAGACAGATCAGATTTGTTTTTCTTACGCTCTCATTAATCCACGCTCTATGAAATGTTTGTGTTGGCACTGACATTAGGGTAGCGTGGGATACGTGTGGAAGCACATCAGTCTAAGGTAGGATATCGATATGCCTTTGTGCACCTGATGCGCCTTCGTGCAACTACACGCAGAAGAGCAGAAACGGTACGTTAGCCCAGTCAGACCTGTGCACGGTGTTTGAACAAGCAGAAGGGGTCATGGTGTGAAGTTGACAAACCAGAAGAAAGCAGGGTTTCCAGCTCGAGAGCTTGTAGTCTGCAAGGGGACGAAAGTTGCTGGAGACCTGCTGTGTGCCCGTGACGTCCTGCTGATCGATACCAAGCAGCTTCTGACACAGCCTGCTGCGATACGCTGCCAGCTGGGCTTTCCGTCCCCGGCTTTTGGGTGTTACGAACATAGTGGAACACAGCTACCGCTGTGCTTCCCAATGGAGACGGACTAGAATGCTAGCGAAATAGGATCGGTGGCAACCAGGCAACCATAAATGTTGTCAGTGACCCTGAGAAGTCTTGGTAATGTGAAAGTCATAACAGAAAACCCATCTATTTGGGATAGGTTTTTTGAATTTTTTCTTTTAAGATTTGGTTGCTACTGTCATCAACTGGGTCAAAGCAATTTTCCTGTTACTCATGGAGTCATACTGCTAATTACTGTTACTCTATTTTCATACTGTCACTTATACTGCATTTGTTTACCGACTCTTCCGGTCAATAAGTCACACCTATTAGAACGTTTTAATAGTGTTCAACAGCAGTTTAGCAAAACTTCCAGTTGAACAGTATCCCATCCAGCATACCATTGGATATGACAATGAAAACACTATCCAGGGGAGCAACATGAATTACATTTCGTGTTTGTTCTTCAGGAGACTGACTGACACAATGTCTTACTGCACTTGATGTTGGATTAGTGCAGTTGGTCCGTTTTTCTCCGAAGGAAGGAAATTAATCCTAAAACCATTGAAAAATCAAGTGAGACTGAAATGTTCAGAGTACAGCTGCTTCTATTAGAAAGTAGTCAGAAGTGACAAAAACTATATGAAGTAAGGAATGCAAGTCAGGAGTTCTATTTCCTACAAGTTGTAGTAAAAGTTCAAAGGAGAACATCTAGTGAAATTGGGGCGGGGGGGGCAGAGAAATCTGATACTTCTGTTGAGGGGGAGTTCGGTTGTCCAGTTAATCAGTTAATTGCCATGGCATATGGCTAAGAAAATATACTAGTAACAGATTGGAAGTTAATATGGATTACAATGATATAGTCTTTTTTTTTTTTTTCCCACAAGATTTAAAACTCCCCTTAAATTTTTAAATGAAAACTTATGTGCAGTGTAAACCTGTCATATTTGCTTTTTGTAGTGTTCCTTTTGTCTGAAGCATTTGGTAACTGGTAGGGTTGTATGTGACAAATGGCATTTTCCTTCTCACTGATGAATTGTTTCCTTTTGCCAACTGGAGCTGCGCAGGGGTGGGGAGAAGCATTTGCTTTTCAAGTACACTTTCTCAAGCAAGGTTGCATGTGCTCAATGGTTGTTTTAATTAAGTTGCTTTTAAATCTGAGGAATAGATTAATATAATTTGAGACACAGAGTTGTACTGAGGAACATTCTCACAGCATAACAATATTATGGGCAAACTTGTTAAGTTCGTTGTAAAAGCCTGGTTTCCCAGTGTCCGTGATTCTGTACATGCAGGAAGATGACAGAGTATATTAATCCAAAATGTTAAAATGTTGATGGAAAGTGCTAGAATGGTCTAAAATATGGTTAACATAAGTGCAAGTTATCCACTGCCCTGGGAGCTGGTGAAGGTAGTGATTTTGAGAGCAGTGTATATTTACGCTGACTAAACAGCTGCAAAGCTGTATTTTTCTAGTAATGGAAGAAGTTGGTTCCATTAACACTTTTTATTTAGTAGGAGCAGTTATTTTGAATGAGAAATGAAAAAGCACTGACCACCTACCTTGGTCAAATTCATATATACTCCTCATTTAGCTGTTAGGAAGATCTGTAGTGATGATGAGTATAGAAGTACTAGGGTCTGTAGGTATCTAAGCAAAGTCCTACAAAATTAGGATCCTTCTGCATTAAGCATGTGACAATTAAGCTATATGATGTATTTGCTGCCCCGCTGAATTAATGAACTAATAAAGAATGGTGAAAGAAATTATTTTCCCATTGTTAGAGATGGGAATGGAGGCAGGGTGATTTGCTCAAGGTGTTATATGATGGCTGTAGCAGAGCTGGGAAACTGCACCTTGGTTTTCTGCATCCCAGCTTAAGTCCCAGGTTGGCTTCTTCTGCGGCATTGAATCCTGGAGGAAAATAAGGAAAGAAAACACGTGCCTCATTGTGAAGGTATCAGAATAATTTGAACTGAAGAGCTGCTTCCCAGCAGTAAGTCAACTGACTGTATTTACTTGATCGCTCTACTTGGCAAATGTCCCTAAGCTACCCCACACTTTCTTAAACATTGGATTGGGACACAGGCTGGGCCTGGAATACATCCCTTACAAGTGTATGTTCCTTCAGATACCGAATGTCCAAGTACTACACAATCAACTTATTTATCATCGTTGTCTTCACTAAAAAAAAAAACAGCCTTACTTATTCAAGTACATGTTTGGAAACATTCACTGCCTTTGTTCCCATTTTGAGAGGTTTGGCTGGCTTTCTTCTCTTTCATGTCTTTCCATCTTCTCTCAGTTCCTTTTCACAACCAACACTTCCTGTTTACCAATGTTTTCTTCAGCTCGCGTTGTTGGGGACGTTGTTCCAAAACCGACAAGAGTTATAAAGCACAGGTTGGAGAGACAAGCTCCACGTGGAAGATGAGAAAACATTATGCAAAGCCATTGTATAGTATTTTCCAATGTACTTGGTATTATCTCAGATCTATTTCTAGCATACAGAACAAAATCCAACTTTGATTTAAGACTAGACCAGCCTGTAGTATAACTTGTAATGTCTTGGGTAGTTGTAAGCCTATGAGTAGCGTATGTTCTGAGAGAATTTTGGGAACCATGTTTGTAGCATTGTCCTTTATATGCTCTTCGGGAGCAATGTTATTCTGTCCATTCTGCAGAGATACCGTGCTAGCGCGTAGCTGCCCATAACAGACACTTGTGCGCTGGAAAGGTTGTTATTACGTAAATGCTCTTGAAACTGGTTTACAGTTATAATGTATGCAGAGCAGCTAAATTACTCCTACGGTTCTCTTTTTTCATCGGTCTTTTCTTGGTTTGGTTTTGTTTTGTTCCAGATTCTACCCTCTGCTCCTTAAGTATAATGGCTACTAGTGCAACGTCCATCCTGTACATACAATTACCCAGGCAAATAACAAGATTGCAAGTATGTTCTTGGAGTGTCTTGTATATACTGATGCAACTCTATCCATGTTTATGACATGGAAATACATTGTCTGTCTTTGAGCAAAGCCACAGACTGGAAGATTCTGGGGAAGGACTCTATAAATAATTTCTGGCTTGCTTAGCTCTTAAGTTTCGACAGTCATCTCTGCCTTCCAGAAGATTTCTTACACACTGTAAGTCAAGTTCTACATTTCAGCATTTGCACCCCAAAAAAGACCCAGGGCCTGCTTCTTGTGGAACCTGGGGCTACTTTTTATTTTTGTATCTAGAGAAGAAGAGACTTAGCAATGCAACTCTTGCATTTTTGTAAAACAAAATTTGAAGGCTGTAGCATATCTCTGGAAGCATGTTTGACTTGCTTTCTGTTACATCAACGTGGATTCTTGAAATGGCTGATGTAATGACCAGGATGATGGGATAGAGTGACCTCTCAGCGAGTTTGTGGGTGATACCAAATTGGGAGGAGTGGCTGATACGCTGGAGGGCAGGGCTGCTACTCAGATGGACCTAGTCAGACTGGAAGAATGAGCTGTTAGGGACCTCATGAAGTTTAGCAAAGGCAAACATGTCCAGCTGTGTACTGGGCTGAGTATAACTGGTAGGTTTGGAGGGAAGTGATTCTTCCCCTCTATTTGACACTTGTGAGACTACATCTGGAGTTCTGTGTCTCGTTTTAAGAACGGCGTTCACATACTAAAGCGAGGCTAGTGAAGGCCACCAAACTGCTCAGGGGGCTGCAGCTCGTGACATACAAAAAGGAGCTGAGCGAGCTGGATTCGCTCAGGTTTAAAGAAGATGATGGTGAGGGGAGTTCATACTGCTGTCTGCTGCTTCCTAATGGAAGGGTGTAGAAAAGATGGAGCCAGATTCTTCCCAGAGGTGCACTAGAGGCAATAAGCACAAGTTACAACATGGGAAATTCAATATAGGAACAATTTTTATTTTTTTTTTATTAACAAAGGATGGTCAAATACTGAAACAGCTTGCCCAGAGAGGCTATGGAAACTCCATCCTTAGAGATATTCATAATTCAACCGGACACGGCCCAAAGCAACCTGCTTTAATGGGACCTGCCTTGAGCAGAAAGTTGGACTGCAGACTTACAGAAGCCCCTTACCACCTACGTGATTCTATGATTTTGTGATGTGACAGCAGATAGCTTCAAACCAGCAGTTCCTGGGAAAGAGACTGAAATACCACTTTTCCTTTTGCCTAAGGGTTTTCCTGAAACTATGCCCTGCAGGCAGGGAAGGCTTGTTCTACTGTGCTAACAAATTCATTGATAATTATTTTTTCCACGTATCGCCAACTAAGCTATGCAAATGCACAGGGGAAATAATCTGTACTGAATTCAAAGAGAGTTGAGACTTCGTTTGCCTGCTTTTATTATCTAGACAGTTTTGTCATAAACAGCAGCAGTGCCCTGTTCACAAAGAACTACCTACCTTCCTACCATTTTAACTCACGGTTCTGAAATTCCATTTCTGTGCCTTTTTCCTTGTTGACTATTTCTGAATCTTCTTCCAGTTCTATTTCTACTGAGATGGGGAGGAAGCTGCAGAACTGTATGCAGTATTGAAGGTGAAGATAGACCATGGATGTATAGAGACTGTCCAGACTGCGTTCCACTAAGAGGGAAGAGACAGACATGCACATATTATGATTTTGTGTAACTTTTCCTTTTAGTATGTCTACTGCCTCTTTGTTGTCTCTAAGTGTTTTAAATAGCTTAAAAATAAAACGCAGATTTTTCTTACCTGTTTATTTGTTCATCTCTTACTGTTTTGTTCTTCATCCTGTCAATGGTGCAATGCCCTATTGGTCTGGTCTGCTTGTGTTACAGCTTTCTTTCATGACCTTTCTGTTCATGATGTCTGCTTCCTCAGCTGTGAAGAGTTTTATGGCAGTTGGACACTTGGCAGAGGATAAACCCCCTAAGTTAAGTGTCTGTCAAAGGAAAGGTGAGTAGAACGTAGCCCTTGACTGTTCCAGGCTAATCAGCACAAGAGCTATCTATCTTTAAACAGCTTA